TGTTGACACTGGTGTCGATCGACCCTCGTATACGTTCAAACCGCGTTCCAAGCCGACGTGGACGGGTTGCTTTCTCTCTCTAACCACGGTCTGCTGCGTCTACACCGGGGATGCACTTGGACTCTAATGTTTCACCGCTTCACTGACACGGAAACCATGCAAGAAGTTAGAGCCTTACTTATCATCTCGACGTCCCAAAACTATGCTCTAATTAAGCATTATTTTATGACGCCTAGATGATTTTGAATACATAAACATTTGAGGTTGTCAGAGAGTACACGATTTGGACAGTGGGGTAATATATCGACGAATAGAATTGGGGAATACAAACTGGGGAATACAAAAGGGCAGTTATATTGCTAATAATAATACCAATAATTGCAGCGATAATATTGATTATTATTGAGAACACCTGTAGCTCGGAGTGTGGGTGAGAGGACTGTCCTGATTTCCGAGCCGTGCATTTCTGTTGCAGACGTTTCGTTACTAAACTAGGCAAAATCTTCAGTGCGGCTATTCAGTCCCGATTCGTGAAGTCTCGCAAACCAATGTCAGATCCGATTTGATGCTAACAAAAATAATATAACTATACTTCAGAGGTCTGCGAACAGGTGTGTACACATTGTTATATGAATGAGTTAATGAATGAGTTTTGTACAACCTAAGCCTGGCACGGTATGAGATTCAGGGGACTGGGATGCATTAAAGGAGCACTAGATGGGAGCTAGGAGCTAGTGTAAGACTTCGGTTTCAAAGAAATGTCTCTACTGAGCATCTGGTCATCATGCGAAAGATGTATGACTACCGAATACCGATTACTGAAAATGGGGAGCGATGCGTTCTCTAGATTTACAAGCTACAAAGTGGGTGTTTCGTAATTTCCTGAAACACGATACCGAATTTACCTCGATTAATGTCTTTGACAAACTGTCCAATAGTACACCATTAAACACTCAAGACAGAAGGTGAGTTATCCGCTTCAGATCCAGCACTGCAAGCTTCTATCGGTGCTCGTGTGTACTACTTGGTGCGCGCACGCAGACAGCGATTTTAACACCGGTAACCGGTGGAGCGAGATCAACTCGAAACCGACGATAGGACAACCGTTTTCTTCTGTACCGGTGCGACACGTTCCAGTTTCGGACCCCACCACGAATGATCGAACTATAGGCGGGTGAACTGTACTCAAGTAGGGGTCATATAATGGAAGATGCAAATGGCCATTTGTATAGACAAAGCGCAGAAGCTGCGTTGAGCGCCTAAGGCATACGCAGTCCGTTTCGGTCTAACTTATTCGTGATGTCCAGGGAGTTCAATTCACAGTGTGTGAGTACGCTAAGGTATTTCATTGGGTGTGTGTGCGTGTGTGTGATGCGCTGGTTGGTGGATTGTAATGCTCCCAACACCACCCTTTCCCAAATTCATAAATGACCACTTGACTGCGTTTCTCGATCAATCGATTTGTTTGCAGGCTACAAGGACAGGCTATCGAGGTCATGCAGTGGTTCGTCGTAGTCCTCGGGAGCATCCACTACTCTGTAAAGCTTCAGGGCCTACGTAAACAGAGCACATGGCAACCGAAGAAAGTGAGGTATTTCGTTGATGTAGATGAGGAACAAAATGTTCCCGGACACATCACCGGTAGAAACATACCAGTCGGTTACATAGCCATCCACATTTGCCCTCCACTTTCGTTCAACAAACAAGTCGTTGCTTCATTGGTGCAATGGGACACTAGCTCCGCAGATCCTCAGCATGTGCAGGAAGACGTCATGGTTCACAAACTCAAAGGCTAAGCTGGAATCAATGTAGATCACGCAGACGGACTTCCCCCATGAACAATGCGACCTCTTCGGATGCGAACAACAGTTGTGCCGTTATCGTGAGAACGTTTCTAAGCGAACCCTAATTCCTTTAACTTCGTTCACAGCCTCGCAACCGCACTTAGAGAGCTGCAGCCGTAACCGTGTCGAGCAGATGATCAGTGTCCCCTGGTCCGGGAGTACTTGTCTCTAAGACTTTGACGAAACAGTGTGAAGGCGCTACAGCTCTCTTATTTGATGTCAAAATACTGCTCTTCTGTGTGTAGTTCTGCTGTTCCTCACCGGACCAGAGAACGGTTGATAAAATAACCATGTCCCCATTATCCTACCTCCACGAAGTTATTCTTCAGTCTGAGTCTTCTCCCGACCAAGCATGTTTTCCGGAAAATAATTAACCGTCGAAGCCAAATGGGCTGGAATTAGTTGGGACTGAGTGAATTGAACCAAAAACTAACCCGTTAAGGGAGTGATTGGAAGCCCCAGATGGACAAGACCAAATCCATTTTAGTCAGTCCAGTTCCCCTTGTCCCTCCTCTTCCCCCCTCCGCCCACCACCACCACCACCGATGTCCCAGCATGCTGGTTATGACAAGACAATAATAAACGTGTATGAACACGCCCTCGGGGGTCTAGCTGAACATCTGCCGCGAACCACATGCAATGAAACACGTCGTCCCGATCTTCCACGCACGCACGCACTCGGGCGCACACTCGCACGTAGCCCAGCGTGTCATCCGTTTTTGGGTTGCGCAATCGGTCTCGCTGCACACGCAACCGCCCGCTCTTTTTCTTACGGAATGCATGTGGCATAAAAGGTTAACCATCGGTCTTTGCTCGACCGACATGGCACTTTGGGGGTGCGGGTGAGGGGTGGATTGGCGGCAGTGCAATTAGGACAGGTGCGCTTGGGTTGCACCACGCTAGCCTCCCAGCATGAGATCCATTCGCCTCAGCACGACGATTGGACGCTCGGGTTTAATGGAAGCTGGTCATCCCTGATACACGTGGGGGAACACTCCATATTAAAACGCAACATCACAAGGAGAGAGGGAGGACGGGAGGCGATTCAAGTTCCACAACTAATACGGCAGATGTCACTTGTGAATGTGATATTCGAACTCGAGTATACGTCGGGATCCTCTTCAAGAATGACGCAGCATCGACGTTATATTAGGTCTAATCTACTTACAACATAGAATCGATATCACGTCTGCTGAGTATTAGGTTAATGGCGATCAGAATCTTAACGAAAAATCGGAAACCCTTCTTTTCAGCGAACCGTTTATTACTATATGGAATGTGTGCACTCTTAAGAAACACATGAAGTTTGCATGATAAATGCAAGATGGTATCGAACATTTGAAGTTAACCAACGCTCACGACAAATTTCCTTGGAACCGTTTACAATCGTGGTGGTCGGCGCCTTAAACATCCATGCTGAACGCAGCCGCTACATAATTATCATATCTCACTGTCGTAACATGTATGATAGTCGAGGCACTTAAAAAACAATCGTGGCGATCCGCCGCTGTCACCCATGGCTCAGTGGCATAAGTCACTGGCTAGTAAGACTAAGGTCGTGAGTTCGAAACCGTCAGGGTTCGGCGAGTGCGTGCTATTCACGAGTCCCAAATAGCATGAAACGGCCGTGTGCCGCTTCTATGGATGTGTGGCGGCCGTCTGCCTGAGTCTAGCTGCGACGAATCTTCATGAAACCCAATAGATGTTCTTACAACACACTAATAATCTCCCTAGTAGCTTACATATTACATCGATTGATGGCGGCTTGCAAAGGAAGTTGTAGCTCTGGGGGCCAGCCATGTCTTCTGCACGTTCATAACCTGTATGACAGTGGGATATGTGCCGTTCTATATCGCAGTTAGGTATCAGTCATGTCGGTCCACTGCAGTCACTCATACCTCAGTGGCATAAGCCGCTAGCTCCTAAGAGTAAGGTTTTGGGTTCGGATCCCGTAGGATTCAGGAGCTGTGCGCTACTGACGAATCCCAGTAAGACGGAACTGCCGTCTAAAATTTTTCTGGATGTGTGGTGATTGTGTGGTTGAGTCAAGTTGTGATAACCCATCCAGAAAACACGAAAAATCTACTACATAATAGTTACGGAACAGGTGGGCCAACACACAGCAGTCCGTAGCGTGAGAAGGAGTACTCGTACTGTTCAAACTCGAGGGACTCAAACCGACATTTAAGTTAGACCATCGAATACAAAGCTAGTGAAGAGGGACTCCCTGCCTGACTCCTGCGGGATCATTGCATGATAATCACTGATACGTGCAAGGTTAAGGAGATCAAACTTATCAGAGGTACACAATACCTAGGACATTCTTTTCGAGTTTAAGGTCAGTATGAAGAATGCCAGCCATCACTGAGAGGCAGTGTACGGGAGTTAACATCCCAGCCGCATACTGGATGGGTGAATATCTAGTTAGTATTCGTGGTTGGCTGGAGTAAACCTGATTACATGTCAAATTCTTGTTCGTTTCAGTTGCGGCCACCGAATATGTGATTCCTAGTGTACAGAATTCCGAAATACGAGACACTCCACGTTCACATGGACCAACAGATTCCACAGTATTTATCAGAATTATCGTAGAGAAAACAGTGCGAAGACCGAGTAGAGGTTCCACGCTTCGATGCTCGTCAAGCCAATGGTCACACAATTTATTGTTTCGTCGTCAGGACTGTGTTTTTCAAACGCACTTTCGTAATCTAAATTGCTTTCTTGGCTAAGGGGTCATACGTTTATGTCGATCCATCCAAGTATGATGTTCACCTAATGGTAATTATTGAGCCCAGCGAATTGCGGCCGAGATTCGTTCCACCGTTGTATATATGGCACCCAGTGAAGTGGACTCACATCACGTACCCTTGGTTAGACGAGCGAGTGGGATGCTTCCACCCTCTGTTCATACCCAACCTTTTGCACACATATTGTTGACAAGAGTCGATCAAAGTGTACGCGCTTTGAGCTATAATAATACTTAGCGCTGATTCCGTGAAACCGAAACTTGTCTTAGGCGCGAACTGAATGTGGTCGACTCCAAAGTAACTTGTAGGTTCGGTCAAATTGTTTACCCATTTACTTCATCCGTTGATCCATAAGTCACCGTATCTATCTAGCTTATATTTCATCTACTTCATCCTACTCTACATCCAGGTGGTAGTCGTCAAGAATTTCAGGATCATCTGCATTCACACTATGATTATAAGTGCTATAAATGCGATTACACCTCAAGAACCGAAGGACGTTTACGGCGACACATGAAGGATTTCCACTCTGATGTGCCACCGGACAATTTCTCCGGCAAAACTGTCAAAACAATTCGACCGAAGTTGCAGCGGTGCAAACAGTGTAACTTTATGACGGAAACGAAGGTCAGTTTTTTTGTGGCGCTTTTTGCTAAAGTCAGGCCACTCGTTGACGATGCAAAATCAGCTCTCGCACGTTACACCATCTCAAATGTAGTATGACCCCCCGACAAAATGAAATACAACTGTTTATGTGTTATGAAGTGATTGCCAAATCGGTATAGCTTGGGCACTCATAGTGTCACCGTCCTTTGAAAGCTTTTACCAGCTCCCCGCTATGATCGAAACCACAAGGCTGAGAAAAAGGAACCCTTGAAACCAATCGGTGACCATGAACAGTACGTCGTTCCATCATATCAAATTACAGGGTTCTGAGAATTGTCACAGTATTTTAGGTCAATTTCAACCTTAATCGTGTTTGAAAAGATCACAGGTCCCCTGTGGTCAGCCGTTATTCTCTTGGTACACAGGCAAGAACTCTGAATCAAAAAAATTATTATTTGTGATGACAGTGATGTACACACACTGAAGGAGAGATGTTGATGGTTTAATGTCAGTTATGCAAATGAGAATATGTGTGCATTGAGAATAAACTTTATGTTTGTGTGCATGTGCACATAGTGTGTGTACGGTAGCATCTCCAGCAAGAGCGAGCAGTTGCGACACATGAAAAATGTGCTTCCAACCAAGTTAGTCCGAAACACCAGTTTATGAATGTCTACTGAAGTTTCGCGGTTTAGGCTGCGGGATGAACTAGTCTGATGCAAATGCTGAGCTAGACCACACATCAATGACAGCCACCTGTAGGATGAACTTGGTTGCTCGAAATTGGTCACGATTGGGGGGTTTATGGTCGATAAGATTGACATTGGAAAATTAGGGGGAACCGATGAGAGGTCAGCTTACGTGGTTGGCACTTACGGACAGCATTCTTCACTTCGATAACCGCAACTACCGGATTAACGTTAGCAGCAATGCATTCCAGCAAACACAGCACCTGCGATCGCAGTTTCCGCTATCATCATTGGTTCAAAGAGTAGCTAAACCCAGGGATGTCGAAAATAATTATCCACGACAACAGCAAATCGGGCAAGCGATCGGTAGCAGTAGTGATAATGATAGTGGTAATGGTAATGGTAGTAGTAGTAGTAGTAGTGGCGATAGTAATAGTAGTAGTAGTAGTAGGTAGTAGTAAGTAGTAGTAGTAGTACGTGGTGGTAGTTGGTAGTTGCTAGTTGTTGGTAGTTGGGTTGGTACTTGGGTTGGTAGTTGGCAGTTGTTGGTAGTTGTTTGTAGTTAGTAGTTAGTAGTTTGTAGTTGGTAGTTAGTAAATAGTAGTAGTAGTAGTAGTATTAGTAGTAATAATGGTAGTAGTTGGTTATTATTTATAGTTTTAATAGTCATAGTAGTAGTATTGGTGGTGGTAGCATTGGTAAAAATATTAGCAGCTGGTGATGTCCGTTTCCCTGTCTGCTGACACTGTGACCGCGGATAACCGCAGATACATCTCACGCCCACCTGGCACGCAAATTTGATTCATGAGGATTGCCGATTAGAGCCATAATTGATACGATGGCCTGTGCCCATTAGAAACGCATTTCGTTGAGTTAGACTTTAGGAAGGCAGTGTACATTGGGCGGTAGATGAGCTTTGGCACGTTCCGTGGGAAAAGCACTCTTAATACAGCATTATCTCGAAATCCATGCGTCCGATCGCCACCGACGACGGTTAGCTCACTCCTGAAGCCAGTGCTCGGAGAGACGACGTCGGTTGGGTGGGTACCATACGAACTCTGACAACAAACATAGGCAGTATTGACAAAACTTTCGGGGATATACGACAAGTATCCACTAACGCACGTTTATTGGTGCAAATATGTTAAAGCCGCCACAAAGATGCGTCGGACGAAATATGTAAGTCACAGCACTGGTGCGAATGATTAAATGAGACTGAAGACATCTTGTTGGGATGCATTTTGCTTGATTATTTGATTCACCCATTCATATTCGAGGCAAACTCTTCCCAACTACGCTGCTGACGCAGCATGTCGGCATGTCGGGAGAAGAATACCACCGAATGTACCACACCACCAGTGAGAATGACGAAGCGGTACTCACCTGGATTTTGTCAGGTGTCCTACTTCCGATCCGCTGGTTCACGTATGCTCGTCCAACTCTCAGCACAGGCACAGCAACAACACATTGGCCTGTAGGCTGGACTCCATGACATGCCTTAAGCCGGTGAATGGACAAACGACGGTGAAGAAAATCACGTCATTGCACAAAGAATTGCCGAAGTTGTGGGGTGCTAATAGTATGTACTAATACACCAGGAAGCAGCAGTATGGAGAGAATTAGCAAACCGGGCCGGTACGATTAGGCTATGGATCAAAGCATATTTCTAACACAAGGAGAGCTCTCTAGGGTCGTTGATAGTGGTGTACCATGAAGAAATGTGGGAACTGCAGTAGCCGATGGTTAAGAGTAAGTACTATCCCGACGAAGGTTCGCATACCATTGCAGCTATAGTTGGTCAAACCTAATGCACATCACGTCTGCCTTGTTGTCTCGAATAACGAGTTTGTTCCGTTTGTTCTTGCGGTGCCACTCTCTTGCAACCCACTGAAGTTGTGGTTGAGTCTTGGAGTACACACAACATGTCTGGGTTCCAACACACAATCATAATTGGGGAAACGGTTTGCTTTGGAACAAACTGCTGCCTTTTCCATCACTGGGACCCCATCGGAAGGGGAGACCTTCAGAGTTGTTGTGTTGTGAAAGAGCAGCTCGGAACCATTCTGCTAGGTTATTCTAACCCATTCGCTTCTGTTTCTTCGCTGCTAACAGAATACTCTGTGTTGTCTACCAAGCACCAACCTAGCCCGGAGCCCGCTAATCTTCAAACCACTTGTGTCCTCATTTGACGCACCTTCCTTTTCCGATGGGTGATTATGACGAAGCGATGGTTGACATGTTTGACGACGAAAAAGGTAACGTACAAGGACCATCGACCTGTCACGATTGTGATTTGAGCCTCTGTTAACGTTAATCTGTTTGTTGCGCTCTGTGTTGCGTGAATTGGTCAGTACAGGGGCAATGATAGTCCCATTTAATGCGTCGCTTATCCAAGCTTGTCACTGAAAACTTGGCCTGTAGAATAATTTTAACAGGATGCGCTGACCACCAGCAGCGCGGTTTTTTAGCTGGTTAGTGAAATGTATGGCTTTCACGCCGCACAAGTCTAGAGTCAGCGGGTAATTTACACGTCTTTCGGCGACCAAAGATAAGGCATTATACAGGACTCTACAAACTTGACCTTTGAATGCAGCATCGCAATGCACACTCGATTCACCGGCCTAGACGATAGTGTGTGATGTAGTGGAGATTATTTAGGCTTCATGGAAATCCTTCAAGTTATTTCAAGCCAGATAACATCAGTATACAGTCATTTCGTCTTCTGGAAATGGTTGGCAAAGCACTTTGCGTTCACCCGATAAGAGGAATGCAACTGAGGTACAGGAGGTAAACTTTAACGAAACTAGGGGTCACTGACAGAAAACTATCACCAATGGACGCTGACTTACTAGTGCCGGTTTGGTACCAACTGTTTTGTATTGACAGATTTCATTTTCAATTGTTTGTGTTTTTGTGTTCTGTACTCGTTCTTTATGGTATCTTAAGGAAAGTACGTAGGACTTAAATATGTTAGTTAATCACTCAAGTGGCTTACATGTGATAAAACCTTTGCAAACATTGCTACTCAACTCCCAGACGACATGCAGCAGCTTGCTTCATTTATGAGGAAAATATGACCTGAAAACCAATGATTGCGATCCCATTGGATAATGTGAAAACTCGGACTTTCTAACAAGAGATTATCTATAGTTGACTGTATTCGCTTATCGATGTATGTGTGCGGAGAGAGTTGTCACATGGGTCATTTCTCTAAAAGTATACGATTTATCAAGCAACCGAAAATCAACCAAATAGTCAACAAAGCCTAGTATTCCGAAGCATTTTTCTAATCCTTTCCCACGTCTATATATGCCTGTACCGTTCTTCATCTCAGATAATTATGCCAGTTTGTCTCGTATTACAGAGTATTCTTGTTAGTTTGTTCAACTTTGGATGATAGCGCACCACTATCGTTGTTTGTCACAGCGAAGGGGAAATGCCTCACAAAGGCCACTTGCGTTCCGTCAGGCAATTTAACGCCCGCTTTCTATCGGCCTCAGCATGCTAGATCAGGCTTGCACGGACCTCACTCTCTGACTGTGCTAAATCCATCCTTAAACATCAAACCAACTCACAATGCCTGCATGCGATCCCCAAACGTTATCTTTGAGAGTCGACTTGAATTAGGACAAGTTCGTGTGGTTTTGCACTTATCGGTAAGGAGCTAATAAATGAAGAAAATACAGCATGTCCCAAAGGTCTGGTCCCTCTACTCTGTTAATGCTGGACAAAGGGTCATTTCCTCTGGTGTGAGGTAGAGCGCACTAAATTGCCAGCTGTCCAATAATAGATATTGGTCTATCTCAAAAGGTCTCACCCGGTCACACGGGTTTAGAACGACCGTATGCATGCATGTGAGTACATGTGTACTTGCCAGTGTCGTCCATCGTGAAAGCTTTGGATCAAGCACGGATGATTGAGTTGGAGTCAACCTACGGCACAGGGTAAGTTCGCCGATCGATACATACGGTGTGTCGGGCTGGTTGGACCGGAGACAAGCGTGCAAAATCGAAACAGCAATGCCTCATTACCGGGCTACTGCTGTAGAATTGTGGTTGCGCTTGGACAGGCGTAAGCGGCCTGAGCAAGGAGTGTGCAATAAGGTTTAGTGCTATCCCAGCCAATGACAAAAGGGTTATTGGCAATGCTCTTGTAGACTGAAAGTTACCTTCCAACAACCTACCTTAGTAAAATAGACATTCCTTACAATTAGGCCTTGCAAATATGAAATGTGACGTTTTGAAAAAGGAGTTTTGAAAAGCCTAACGATTAATCGCTGCCGCATAGCCTATTCCCCGTCGCAGTGTTGATCGCCGTTGCAGGAAACAATTGTGGTTACGCTGCCCAATTTGTTTCAGGTGGAACTCTGAGTGTTCATTCCAACATATTCATTGATGGGGCGATATTCTCTTAGCATGGAACTGAGAAGCTGCAGTTTTAGACAATATCTAATCCTTGCTGATACTGAGAATCTCGTATTGCACAAATCGCGGAGCTCGTTGGCTCGAAAAAATGAATAACCACTCGTGGGACCAGAGCACACGCATGTGGGTTCTCAGGCAGACTGTCCACCGCAAGCCCGTTATCCCTGTGATAACATTTCTGACACCTAATGTTGCAAACTCCGAATAGCAGATTCAAAAGGATCGATAAACCACACATTTACAGTCTGTATTCTTATTGACAAGTTGTTGGACCATCTTTCTTTTCCTTTTGTATGACCGGTATGTTAGTGTTTGGAAGCACTCATCCCACTCCAGAGTCTGTACGCCAATGAACAGGATACAAATGCGAAACCGGGTAGCCTATTCTCACGTCAACATCTCGTTCACATCCTCCCCGTACTCCTTAGGCATGATCGTGAAAAACAAGTGTTATCATTGTGAGCCAAGTTGCAGAGATGTGGTCAGTCTAGGCGCTGTCGAATCAGCTTTGCTCGTGGATTGCATTCTGGCCCGACACACATTTGGCATCATTTGCCCGTGCACCAATTTAGTGCGGAAATCAGTGATAACAGTGAATATGTCTATTCACATAAACAGCATAAAACGGTGATATGTTCGTCAACGACGAAGCTGCTCAACGTGCCCGCTGGCGTTCTGCTTACAGTACGGAAATCACCTGAAGCAATAAGCTATGCCATTTTGCAAAGTTTCCGTGTTAATGGCGTGACATTCATGGACAATACTGCCTTTCAGCTGTTTCAGTGAAATAGGCGCTTGCTTGTAAGCTCTTCTTTTCAAATAACCCCATAGGAACAAATGTAAGGGGTTCAACTCTGGTGACCGGGTAGGCCAATCCTTTGGACCTCTGCGACCGATGCACCGGTGATCGAACACTCTTCAAGATAATGCCGCACCGTTTGTGCATAATGGGCAGGTGCGTCATATTGAACCTCTAACGGTTTGAAGCGAAGTGCCGAAGTCGTCAACGATAATCGGTGGTGAAAATATCTTTCTTGTAGCTCCTACGTACTTTGCCAGTGACAGTTACCTTACCATTGGAGAACCATGATAGACAGAGGAATGGCGGTAATCATAATTGAGTGACTTGGCAAACGCAAAGTTAACGTCATATTGGCAACGGAAGTACGTGACCTTGGCTTGCAAGAAGCGCATAACGCAGCCCACTGAGCTTCAGTGGTTTCGTCCACCACCGTCAACTTTACAGTAAACACCAACAGCGACGCCTGAACCCTGCCGGGCAATTAAGCGATCGCGCGTTTCTCACGTGCCCATCTTGTGTTCCTTTTTTCTCGGAGTGTACGTTCAACCCCGACGAAGTATTCGCACCGCTACCCATCGCAACACTGTGCTAATGAAATCAATCGTTATGCATGATAAATATATTTACATGAAGAGCATTAATGGGGACTCAGCCTGCATGCCTCTGTCGTTTTTTTCTTGTATTTTGTATTGCGGCACCACAGCTGAGGTGTTTTCCACCTGCAGCTAACGTATGTAATGATGATGAGGATGATTTGTAGTTTCCATATGCAACCAAACTTATCAGGTATTCTATCGCGACAACTCACATTGAAGGGAATTTCTGACCTTCGAATATATCACACAACACATGGTTAACGCTTTTCATAAACGTGAAACATTTTTCTCACAAATGAATCCTTATAACCTATCCATCTTTAAAATAATAATCCTGTTGGTTTCTTCAATCACGTAAACTGTTTTTGCTGATGTTATTCCCTATACATATCTACGAATTAGTTCTTGAACCTAATCGAGTGCGCTTCATTTAGTCTCACTTTTGTGTAACTTTTTCTTGAACTAACCTTATTCACACAAGCTATCCCACGGGAATTATCAAGTCTTGGAATTTTTAATCGGAATTATGCCATTGTTCCATTTTTCTATCTCTCATACAGGATGAATTTTGGCGCCATTTGCGGGTGCATATAAAAGAGGATAAACGTTTGGAATGTCATCTTTGCTGTTTTGTCACGGAGTACAAACATCACCTGGAATACCATATGCGAAATCACATGGGATCAAAACCGTACAAATGTCCAAAGTGTAACTACGAGTGTGTAAATAAATCGATGCTGAACAGCCACATGAAATCTCACTCCAACGTTTACCCCTACCGATGTGCCAACTGCCACTATGCCACGAAATATTGTCATAGTCTGAAAATGCATCTGGCCAAGCACGATCACAAACCGGCCGTGGTGTTGAACGCGGACGGTAGCCTACCCGCTTACGATAACACTGTGGAGCTGATGAATTTACGCCGCGGAGCCTGCGTAAGATATTCTTCCGGCCGTGGACGTACAATGATGGAATCGCCCGGTACCACAGCCGATCAGGCATCAGTCAAGTCTCGCGGGTCCCCTCTCAACCATCCCGGATCACCGATCATTCCATTCAGCCACAACTTCCCAGCCAATCATTTTATGAATTCCAACATAGGCACCGGTAGTTCCACCCTTAAAAATACACCTAACCTCCCAGATGCCCTTACAATTGGACCTTACGCAAATTTTCCGTTCAACTATCCCACCCAGTTGCCCCCATTTGCCGCAGTAATGTTTCCAGGTCCAATACTGGGTCCTGCTCATTTATTCCCTAACTCTAATACTTTAACTAAATCAACCGAATCTATCCTTACACAGCCTACAACTACAGTTAACCCCTTGCATTTCATGAACAATTCCTTTGCAGCACTAATGCCCCAAAGTGAATCGATTAGAAAAAACCCATACAGCTGGCCGGTCTCTGATTATTCCCTCCCTAACGCATCCCTAATGGCCGCACTTTTGGCGGCAGTTCAACATAACACCTCCTTATACGCAGCATCAAATGTCTCCACGACAATGAGTTGTACCGAAGAGACCAGCCATTCAGGAACACCAATCGCCCGACTTGCTTGTAACCACCCCGGTAAAACAGTATCCACTATGTCCTCTGGTTCAGTTTTGCCTGTCTTCTGTGATTCTTTTGAATTCCGAAGTCGATATGGAGAATCACGGGGATCGTCTCTTACCCCAGTTGAATGTCATGTTGCTGAACTTGGAGACAAGGCTGTGCGCAAACTTCCTTGCCAAGGCGAAATAAACGGCCCCAATGGGAACTCAGATACAAGCTTAAAACCCTCTCAAATAGAGTGTGCCCTTGATCTATCTGCCAAACCTACCGTGGAGGAACGATTACATACAGACTCGGGAACCGTCGCAGTAAATGGATTCTGCGTCCCAGAGACATCCGCTTGCTGGAGTAAAGGGGGGTTGATTGAAAACGTTGACGCTGCAACTGCTAACGCTGCCTTGAATTCCGAATTTACAGAGGAACCGTTGCCCTTCCAATACGAATGCCGATTTTGCGAAATTCGTTTCCGTCAACGGACTCTTTATGATATCCACATGGGATTCCATAGTCACAAGGACCCCTATTTGTGTAATCGATGTGGGCATCAAAGTCGCGATCCCGTGGAGTTCTTTATCCACCTAGGGCAAATGGCTCACCACTCGTAGGCATGAACACCGAACGGATAAGCGCGTCACTGTTCCTATAACGTCTCCTTGTAAATGACCGGTATTGCGGTGAGCTCCATTTGTGCTTACCTCTGCTGCGTCAATCTTATCTTACGAAAGTACGCTTCGGAATTTTACTCAGAATTCGGTCTTTGATGTGCTCTGCATTCAATGCCCTCCCCCCGAGCACACTGGCGCTTGCTCATTTCTGTATAGAACACCATGTTTCCAGTTACGCAATTACGTTTTTTTGATACTTGCTTGCTGGGATTGCTTCATCAACATCAGAGAACACGAGAACCTATGTGTAACAATTGGTTATCTTTTTTTATCAATGCCCTGCCGCTACCATGAGCAGATAATGGGGCTGGCTGCCACTTGACTGCAGCCTACGGTAAGACGAATTTGAGTAAGTGAAGAGGTTTGTCTTTCAAGCACAGTGAGTTCGCTGATAAGCGGGTCCAGTGGATGAATGTTGTGATCGGTAAACAAGGAACTCATTGAATTCATAGTCACATAACTGCTTGTCTACAGCAGATGGCTGCTGTAGGTTGACTGAAAATTGAAACCCTACTTATCTCTCAATGGCTTACAGAAAGCTAAGCGTAATCTTTGAGGCATTAGACTTAGTATCGGTGGCTCCTAATTTCTCACAGAAAGCTTGATCAGCCGTTCTCGTGCTGGTCTCTGTTCATGTAGTGGATGCGAAGGCCACTTGTGCACATTTAATAACCAGTTTGCTTCCCTACTATGCGATACACGCCATTAGAGGCATGCTAATGGATCATGGTCTGAGCAGAAATAATGGGATATATAGAAAACTGCAACTAGATGTTGAGTGAGTGATCCAATATTCGGCATATGTACAAAGACGATAGATTAATTCCGAAATAACTAGTTGCGTCCAAGCAGTGGTAAGTAATGGATGGTTTGGAAAATGGGTGAGTCACTCGGAGACTGCAGTTTAAGAATGTGCCACCGAGCTGCAGTTAAAAGATATCTTGCTATTCGCAGTCAAAGCGTCTGTTGAATTACGACCATATCAGTTATATTAGTACCCAGTCCCGGGAGTTGAACGGAGCTTGGTTATTCGTTGGTTCAGCCATTGATTCTTCTGCTGAAATCCATTGAAGATGTTCAGTAAGGTTGATTTGAGCAAGGTATTTTAGGTTCGGTAGTGCGCATCCCATAGTGAAGAATCTTCTTGAAAGATAAGTCCACTGTCGACATGGCACTGAGTTAGGCCATAGTAGTTCAAGATCAAGTTAAATTGGGACAGGAACAATAGGAGCATCCTGTTGACGTTCCAATGTGAAAGCGTCGTTGATCCGGGGTGGGTTTCTGCGAAGGGATTTGTCTTCTGAGGGTGTACAATCGGCACGTGCGTCACACCAATCAATGGTCATGTGTCCTGCACCAGCAGTCCCCGCTGTGCCGGTCACCTAAAATGGAAGTCAAACAAAACGGAAGGAAAGGAAAGGAAAAAGAAACTAACATAAACAACAGACAGCTTAAAATAGAACTGAAAATCAAGGCAAAGAAACATAAATATAAATTTGTAATTAAGGCTAAATTGTGAAGGGGAAGGTTTGTAGTTACAAACCGAGGAGGTCTAGTCGGTGTTCAAACGCCTTAACGGTCCGTGCCAATACTACACTCTCAGACAGGGGATTTCAAGGGTCAATCACCCTACGCGATAACCGGATATTAACCCCACCCGATCGGATCTAGGCCTACGCAGCTTCCTGGGATGCTCACGAAGAGTCGGCAATCAGGCCGGAAGGAAAAATGACATAAGTCCGGACCAATCTGACCCGGTAAGATGCAATAGATAAGAAGCAGATCGCCCCGGTGACGTCGATAGTGCGGGGATTAAAGACAGCCTCAGAAATCTTTCGGGATATGGTCCACGTCTTAATTCATGCGCCATCTTGGTGCCAATCCTCAACCCGGCTCCGCTGCCATCTTGTTCTTTATTGAGCAAGGGACAGGCTTGAGCGCAGTACTTTAAGTGGGGTCTGATGAAAGCGGTGTAAATTTAACAAACATTTTACCTCGTTAGGCTTCCAATTGAACTGCGTATCATCCACAGCATTCTGAGCTGTTTGTAAGCAACCTTTGTCCAGTTTGCTCATGACTTGCGATTCAACGACAGCGTGACACCTAAGTCGGTTTGCTCGGGTACGCGTAGTACTTCGTTGCCCCCCTAAAAAGTAAGGTGTTGATGGACCACTGAACCAAAGACGCAAAACTTGAGAGATTTATAGGTAGTTACTACTAACTGAACCAATCTTAAAGTCTATCAAGCGTGCGCTGCAGAAACGGTGTCATCCGGGTCACTGACCGTGCCCCAGAAGTTAGGGTCGTCTGCAAACATGTGAGACGACACCGCCAGTTTCTCAGGTAAATCACTAACATACAAGGTGAACAACAGTGGACCGAGGAAGGATCCCTGTGGAACATCACTCTGAACTAGCTGTCGAGAGGAGAGACTAGAGCCCACCCGAACCCACATCCCCTACCTTCTGGAAATGCCGGCATCCACTGTAGCGCTTGCCCGGAGATACCAATTAACTGTAGCTTACACAACACGTAGGGATGTGGGACGGTGTCGAAAGCTTTAGCAAGGTCAATGAAAAGCACGTGAACCGTCTTTTCCCGATCCAACACATCAGTCCAGCATTCTAGAGCATAACACAAATTGGTAAGACAAGAGTAGCCATTACGAAAACCTTGCTGGGACGAACTGCACAATCCGAAGGTCGTCAAGTGGGCTTCCAGGGCATCTGTTATCATCTTCTCCTGTAATCTGATCAGAAAGCGAGTCAAACTGACGAGTCTGTAGTTCTCAGGAAAGTGTTTGTAACCGTTCTTGAAAACGGGGCCTACTATCTCTTCCTTCCAGACATAAGGAGTAGTGGAGGAAGGGTTTTTCAAACGCATGATCGGTTCACACAGCTCAGCTGATAGTTCATATAACAACTTCGGCTGAATAGCATTTTCCCCAAGCGCTTTGGTAGGATGTAGTTCCCCTAATAACATGAGCACCTGCGTATCTGTAACGGAAATATCCGTCAGCAATGCGTCCGACTGAGGTCTCGTCTCTAAATCAATAGGTGGCAAGCAAGCTTCCGCATACTGTTCCGCAACCAGATAGGACATAGCGTAATCGGTGTCAGCGGCAGCAACTTCGGCACCAAACAAGCCTGGAAGAAGTAAGTTTATGTTAGTTCTGCTCTTGCTATAGGCGAAGAAGCACCTTGGCTTTTTTGAAACCGAGTAGGCCAACTCCATTGCATAGCATAGTCGAGTAGCACGTAGATGTTTGCAGATATTCCATGCTTCTCGATATCGCGGAAAAGTGCTGTCTGAGGGAGCCGGCCGAAATGCACGCTGGCGCCCGGTCCGCCAATTCGTCAGTCGTCGTGCAACTGAATCAAACAATGGGTGCTTCGCCGTTTTAAACTTCCTCACAGAAATAGGGATGTGAAGGAGAGACATTTCAAACGGGTAGGACTTGAAGTAATCCCACGCGGTCTGCAAGTCATCGTCGGCAGAAATGATGCAATGCGAAGTCGCAGTGAAATCTGCTCGGAATGTTGTCATCAGCATGGTCATGAAAGAGGGAACACTTGAATGACACAGCCGTGGTCGATAGCTCCCAGCGGCGATCCATAAGTAAGTTCACTTATAAAATCTACAGACGGCGAAGATTAGATCTAGGAGGAATGGAGCCTGACTCTCCATGAATCTAATGGGTTGATTTACGAACTGGTGTAAAGCTATCAGCAAAGTTAAGTCAAGAAAAGCGGTGGCCAGCCCCCACCACTGTTGACTGACATGAAAATGTTTGCCAGTCTATCTCCGGAAGATCAAAATTCTCCATAAATAGGAATCCAGTGGTCGACTGACGGCGAATGAATTCAATGTGCCCATTAGAAGTGCTATCAGGAGCCTATTTAGTAGCACATTGTTTAGCTGCTTAGAGCTGGGCACTTACATCGAAAGCGCTTCTGCAGCCCCATCAGATGAGTAAAAGTGCATCTTTTTGAAAGAGTTAAGGTACATTTGAGATACAGAGCTATACTTTCACTACGACGGTCGAATGTTTGGTTAGCTCTCAGTAATGCGTAGCATGCTAAGCCTACCCCACTGTCCGTAACGTCGGATAACAACCACGTTTCAGGGAATGCAAGAACGTCAGGTCGAGAGTGGTCCACAATAGCGCCGACTTCATGCATCTTGTTTCGCAAGCCACGTACGTTATTGTGAACTACCTAAAGGCTATCAGTATAGTTAGACCGGTTTCGTTCGCCACCAGAACGGGTTCTGGTAACGTCAGAGACCAAGATGATTATGAGCCACCATGGTGGTTTTACTGTTTGAAGGTCGAGTTTGAATCACTCGATTGCACCAAGTATGCTAATCCCATTCTCAAACCAGAGAAACTTCTCACTATTATCAAGTCTTTCTGCCACGACTCTTAAGGCTTTGCAAGTGTCGATGAAAAGTTATCACCAGTCTGCACCAAGAGAGGCTTAACAGGGTTACATCATTTCTTTTTTTGGCCTTTTGATAAACCTGGTTTGAAAGAATTTATCCTGTCGGCGCCTTCTGTAGCGAACGTTTACACAAGAGGGATTACATGGTGAATGCTTCGGATTAGGGTGAAAATTTATTTGGGCGTTTAATTCATCAGCCGACTCAAAAGACCACGCCAGAACTGTAGTTATTAGATTAGGTAGAGTGTTAGCTATATATAGTATTTGCACAACGAATCGAAGTGCAACTGAGTCAACAATTAAACGACTACGTAAAGTTAGCCACTGGCCACGGTCAGAGTAGCGGGCGTACGAATTGCTTCTGTATGCACAGCTCCAGCCTGGGGCGTCCACTATAACTGGCTTCGGTAATAGATAGGATACATTTTCAAAGCCGCGCGAGAAACGTTCTGGGACGGAGTAGGTGAGTTTGAAATCGTTTTCCTATGAACAGTGCTGGGGCCGGAGGTTCATAAGATGGTCACGGCTACACTTGATTCCCTTAACGAGGACGTTGAACACTACTCAGGGGCGCAGCGAAAGTAGGGCAACTGACATTGACTCAGTTTGGAATACTTTTGTAACAAAAGGGTTCTTTTCATATGACTAAGGAGTTTGACTTATATTAAATTACTTTAGATACTGCAGCCAGTGTATCATCGATTGGTTTTGATAACGTTGGATTCCCAAATTTATGAAAAGCTTGAGGATCTGGTGTAACGCGTGACAGACTATGCGGGCATTACAAATCGTACTTCCGCTTTATGT